CGAAGTGCTTCGAGTTCTCTTCTGTCTCGAGCAGACTCGTTTGTATGCTCGGCCAAGATTTTCAAACCGGTTCTGTTGGATACACAAACACATTCGAACACACACTATACCAGGTTACCATGTTATACCATTACCATGTTACCTATGTGTATTATGCATTATTATTATTTATTTATCTCTCTCTCTACTCTATTGGCTGTCGTTGTGTTTGTAATTATTTCAATATGAGAAAGACACATGTGTCCCCCCGGTTAAGAAAGGCTCCTCGACTTCTATCCTATCTGTGTCTATTCTATACTATACTATTACTATGGCCGATGTTGAAATTTACGACTCCAAGTCGAAAGACTCGAAGAGATTCTGTAGGTAATGGACAGGTGTTGAAGAAATCATTATTTGTTGTAATCGTGGATGAGTATGGGGATTTTCAATATTAATTGTTAAGATGAGGTATTATTAAATGGTCTCTTCTAGCGTAAGATGATTGTACCAGAAATTGGAAATATCATTGCCATGATGAATCTATTAAACTAATAATTTTACTCCATCTAATTCTATCAATATTAGGAAAAACGACCACTGGAATAACTTTCTTGTGTAAAATGCTAATGTTTAGGACAATTTTCAGTTGCCTTCTAAAAATGCCACGAGGCTGTGACTATGAAAAATGACAAGGAGGTATTCCCAAAATGTATAAAATTCTCTGCTTAGTAATATACACAGTTTTGAATTAGGTGCAATTAATTAAAATACATTTTCAAAATTATAAACGATGGGTTGACTTCTAATATAAAATTCATCAACTATTAGGTTGCCTTCTAAAAACGGTACATGGTTGAAGAGAACAAATTTAAGTAGCCAATCATGCTGCTTCATATATTCGACAAAAAATATAAATTTTTCAAATTATTTAATTCAAAACGTACACGATGTATGTCCCAATTTCTAATTATAAGTCTGATCACTCTTTATAATTGACCAAAGTGACTAAAGTTTTTGTTTACGAAGTTTACTAAAATCTTATAATTAATTGCTTTTTCAACAATTAATTCTGAAGAAATGGCTCAGCAGATCTTTACCAAAATGTGTGTATTTATTTATATACTACTATTATTATACTATTTATATATTACCAGCGAGCAGTGTACAATGTAATGTGATTCAATGAATCAGAAAATCATTTCAAGGTTTGGGAAAATATTGCAAAAATTCCAGTAGAAATTAAGGACGCTTGGTTGAAACCTAAAATTGGTTCAGGATACATCCAAGAAAGGATGTTGGCTTATTAAAATGAAATTGATCAAATAATATGCTTCGATGGATACCAGACATTCTTTATTTGAAGGTAAAAGACAAAGTAGAAACAAATCTGGAACCAAAGTTGTCAAGATCTGATTTAGAAAAAAGATTTGGTACTAAATTGGAGATACTAATGGATCTTGTTAACATGGTAATGATTGAAATGTACAAAAATATCCAATAAGAGATTTATGGTGCAATTCTGCCGTAACATAACCCATAAAATAGCGTTGCCATGGTAAATAAGAATATTAAAATGATTCACAATGCAAAATGGCGGTTACAACAGGTGCGAAGTAAACATTGTAGTGTTACCATAATGCAAGCTAAAAAATAAATTTTATTCGAAGTCATAAAACGCATTTTAGTATATGAAGAAATATTAAACAATGATGCATATTTTTAATAACTATATATTTGTTCTTTTCCTTTTATCATATTCATTCTTTTACTTGTATATAAATTTTCATATTTGAAACGATTCCAAATTCAAAATGGCCGCCTCGAAGGTAGCAAGTTCTAGGTGTGAAGTTAACATAGATTGCAGAATTGTAATTACTTATCTATCAAATTGATGAATGAATTAATAAATAAATTACACAATCACCATTACCATCATTGAATTTAAAGTGTACTCCTTACTCCATTATCTGGTGTAATCATTACCAGCAAATGGTTCCGTTTAAAAGGTATAACATTTCCTGCGGATGTTGGAAACTAGATCCATTCATTATTATTACCACAGACTTATGTAAAATATATATAAACACTAACATACAGTACCAGATAATAGAGTAATGAGTCATTATCATGGGTAAAGGAAACGTCGTTATTTATTTATATTTCTTATTTTATTGGAGACATTTAAATTTTTAATTTCGTCTTTGAGATTAGAATAGGTTTTAATGACTTATTCAAGAGAGAAAGAATGATACTGGAGGCAAACACAACTTGAACTAGTTGAGTAATTGAAAACAAATCTAAAACTTTTTTTCCATCTTTTGATTTACCTACATTGTGGCTGCAAATGTATAAAAATAAATCATTCACATCCAACCGCATCTTTTCCATAACAAGTCATAAATATATAAATGAATCTTTTATTCTTGTATTGTGGTGTATGCATTATGTTATGTCAAGGTGTTTTTACCTCGGGGCTCCGCAATTTGCTAATTAATTGTCTGATGTCACTTTTTTGCAAATTAAGGTGTGGATTCAGTCGCACATAGGTGTCGACTTTGTTTCATTTACATATGAATTAATAAATAACACGTATCAAATGAAATTGATCTTTCCTTCATTTATTAGATTGAAGACTTTGAATTTAAAATATTTCAATGTCATATTTTAAGTACAATAAACAGTGCTAGGTAATCGTAAGCAATTATTTAACTGTCTGAGCAATAATAAAATTAATTAAGAACAAATTATCATCGGTAAAAGTGAATAGTTGAAGGATGTTTCAATAATTACTTTGAAGATGAGATGGTAATGATGTAAATATACTTGTAAGAGCCGAATTGATTTAATAATTTTATACATAAAACAAAAAAGCCAAAAACAATACCTGAATAAATTTATCCTTGTCCAGAGTTTAATTTTTGAATCACATCATATTTTGCTAGAATGTTGTATATAACACTTTTTATTTAATGTTGTGAAGGAGCAAAGAGATTAATTTTATTCACTCCTAAAAAATTTAAAACTCTTTTACAAATAATTTTTGAATTTCCCTCAGCTCCTATTTTCAATCAAACGCATTACACTACAATTTTATACAATCAACATAAAAAAAACATTTAAAAGTTATTATGCAGTGTTAATGGCTATAAAAGAAGCCTTGGAATTTAATATATATACATGCTTCAACTATTTCACAATAAATAATAGGTGTATTTATATGTTTTAAACGTATTCAT